GACACATCATAGCTTTACTAGATTGTATTAATATAGGCCTACTGCAAGGCATATTGCAGTGTGTAGAAATATAATTGCAATATGTTATTTTTGTGCAATGCTGAGTAGGATTATTACAATGACAAGTAAGAATAAAAAAAGAAATTATAGTCATAATTGAGAGCACAGCAAAATAAAGGGGAAATCTAAAAGGCAATAAAAGAGACAAGACTTTATAAACTGAGGGATTCTGTATTCAGAGTTCAGTCATGTTCTCATAGTGACGAGTTAATCTAATAGAATAAATTCCATCTATTATTGTATCAGTCTTTCATTTTATTTGTTTTATGTTACATAATATTGTGGTTGGCTGCTTCTTCAGTCTGCATTTTTATCCTGCAATGTTTTTTTTAATAACAGCAAGCACTTGTCTTTAAAGACAGTGGTCTAGACATTACTGAAAAACAGACAGTATGAGTAGACACTAAAATACTGTCTTAGATACTAAATACATGTTACTTTGTTAATTAAATTTAAAAAAAAAGAATAGCAGTCAACATGGTAATTCTGGTAAAAAAAAAAAAAACTACACATTTTTCCAGTGTGGTTAAAAACAATGGAAACAAATTCTCTGAGATGAGACTGACACTGAAAGGCTTGGATTCTAATAAAACACAAAAACATTACTTTTAGCTTTAGATTACTTTTTGCTGCATGCTGATGTCCAAGAAAGTGTACTATCAGCATTTTCATTGCTGCGAGTTGGGAATTTACTTAACACTGCTCAGCAACTTCGAATCAACTAATTACCTTAGCGATCTTGTCAGACTTTGCATCCTTCTCTTATGCTCTTTCTCTCTCTCTCTGACAAAATGCATTAGTAATCATATTTGTATGTCACAAAGATGCTGAAAGCTTTACAAGATAAGCTAAGATCACAACTAGGATATCGCAGTGATGGGTCAGATGATTCACACAAGGCCCGAGTAATGATCTAGGCGATGGCAAATGACTAAATCGAATCAAAAGCTTTGTTGCTTTTCATAATTTAGTGTTAATGTTACCTGTGCAACTGAATAAACTGAAGGAAAAAGTAGCTAGCAAGCTAAGCTCATGTTACGTAGCAGAATTTTTAAATGTCGGCTTTTTAAACGGTTCACCAGTGTGTAAATTTGGCGAACGTGGTGGTTTGCGAAAATTTCACATCATCTTTGATGGACTTGTATGTCCATCTGTTTTCATTTGCTTGAGAAATAAACTCATAAGGTGTAGGGGGGAAAAACAATAGGAAAGGTGTTAGCCCTATAGGTAGTTTACATATATACGTAATTAGTCTGATTCGCCAAAATATAGCATTTTTTCGATTATATAAAGTTTATTCTATGTTTTCTCTCTCCAAAACAGTTTGCTACTAATTCACGTAACAATATCTCTCACAGCCGAACCAAAAGACATGTTTGCACTGTCTGCTTCACATTGACTTTAGACATAAATGTCGGACCTACAGTATAAAGCCTAGTGGTGATGGGTGAAAACTGAAAAGAGAACAATAGAAAGCTAACTATAATGATAGTTCAGTATCCGGTTGATGATGACCTCTGGTGGAAGATGTCAGGACTATCGGGAGCCGCAGTGACAGTAGTGACCTCAGTAATAATGGCCCGTTGTTAGTCTCAGACAGCAGCATTCATATACAGGTAAAGTTGTTCAAATAGGACATACAACTTTATCATTATGCCAGTATTCAGAATTTAACTGTGTGATTGAATACATTCAATAGAAGTTACTGATTAACATGGTTAACAAGGCTTTTTTTGGAATAAAGTTCACATTAGAATTTACCCTCATTAGATTTGTACAGTGCTTCTTACTGTAGATATTGTTATGAAGCAGCGTTGCAGGAATCTGGATGCAGATCCCTAATGCACAAGCCATAAAATTCAGCCTAGAACACTTGTGGTGTACATAAGAGGGATACATTCAGAAAAAAAAAAAAAGACAAATCGATACAGCCACAGTTGCCATTAGATTGTCTCTGTTTCAGACCTATTACCTCAACGTCCCATCTATCGAGTGCGGTACACAAACAATAGCTGTTGTGTAGTGCCCTAGCTTTCTGTGTGACTTATTATCAGTGGCACCATCGTTTATTAAATGATGTGTGTTTGGCCACATTCATCAGTGTTCTGCCAGATGTCTGATACGCACATCTCAGGTAGTTTCACTGATGGAGTGTTAATCTGTGTTTTCACTTACTTTCACCTCACTGCTCTTTCTCACTGGAGCTGCGTTGGTCTAAATCACCTGCCGTCCTTCCTGTTACTGAGAACCAAGAAATATATACAATTATGTCAGCCATACTGCGTGAGCAGTGTAATCAGTGTAATCAAGAAAAACTACATTGCCAGTTTCGTTGTTGTCTTTATGCCAAATGTCCCTTTTAAATAGCAGCTACAGCTTGTTTTATTTGTTGCTACAGACTTTAAATAATGTGTTAGCTGCTATCCATTTTCAGTTTCAATTAAATATTCAAAATAGGAGGGTGTTTATGCTAGTGCTAAAAAATAATTGCAGTTGATTTTTTTTATTTTGGTGTAAAAATGTTTATGGCCACCGGACCCCTGTATACACAGCTGGCTCAGCCTGCAGGTGAAAGAACTCTAGTGCAGCTCAAGGACACAGTGGTGCTCCATCACCCAGAGCTTGTTTAATTGCCTGTGTGTGTCCTCTGTAAACACAGTCTTACTTATAGCAAAGAAAAAAGCTAATGCCTAACCTGAAACCTGCTGTATCTCCAGGGCCCACACTTCTTTATGCTTTACTATTCATCCAGTGTCAAGTCCACATGATGTGTCCATATTATACACTAAGCTGCAGAAGACCCAGATGAATGTCAGTCATCTCTTTTGGTTGTTAGCCTACACTGGGTTCATCGTATTTTTCTAAGCTAAAGTTTTGTTATAACATAAGGAATAGGCTGAACTCCAAGTAATATTTCCTGAACTTGCTTTGATTTATTGCATAAAATTTAACTGCTTTTCCATGAAGGATGTCACGGCTTACATTATCGATGCTTTTTTCTGAACTCAATTATCCAGAAAATGGATTTTGAGCATCATTTCAGAATTGATCATAGGCCAGTTTTCCACATCTGTTAGGACATTAGGATTTCTTTATAGCGCCATATCTAACAATGCCGTGAAGTCTGGTTGGTAACCATCCTCTTGTATATTGTAGATTTAAACTGATATTTTATGTAAGCTGCAAATATGTTAGTAATAGTAACAGTAGAAACTAATAGTACTAGCTATGTTTTAGCTGTATATTTTAATGTCCTTTCTTAGGGAAACAGATTTTATTCAGTCCAGTTTTTATAAAGGTTTTTAACATTAACAAGAAACCTCTTTGCGCAATGTTAGGCTTTTAAGTGGTTTGAGTGGAAGGCAGTCAAGTAAGCTAAAAAGCTACAGTAAATTCCAAATGTCTCGACTTTCTCAGCACTTTATTTTCAAGGCAAGAATCTGTAAGCAAATTATATTGTCTGTGGTCCTTTGAATCCTCTCACAGCATTGTCAACAGCTGCAGTCTCCTTTGCAGTGTGTCCTTAAGTGTTTGTCCTCCTTCCACCCATGGAGGTGACAGAAATTCCAGCTCTTACAATAGTTCATGCCCTGCTGATTAAGCGATTATGGTTTCGATATTGCTAGTTGGTTTTCCTGTGGCATAGCTGACCTAGATATCCTGAATCTGTTATGTGCAGAGGTTACTAGCTCACCTGACAAAGAGAAATGGCCGTTCTAGTGCAGATCCATTGCATAATGCTTGCTTATTTACACTGCAGATTCATTACTGGCTCAGCTCAGCTAAATTGCTGGTTTACAGTATGACTGTGCTGCTTGTCTGTTATGGTTGCTCTGTCCTGGCTGCATCCACTGATATATTAGTTGACATTTGTTGCAGGCAACACTTGGTGGTGGTCTATGAGTCATATAAAAAAGTTGGCATCTAAGAGAGGGAAGAGAGTGAGGTTAAACATCATTCCACATTTGTGTAAATGATCTTTTAATGCCGTGAAAGGTTGCTAAGTGATTTTAAGATGACATTAATTAAAGGTGTAGAGAACACTCCTTGGACAGTACCCAGAAAATTAGGATAGACCTGGTGTTACATTCATTTTCATGCAATTAACAGATGGCCAAACAAAAACAAAGATGGCATCTGGCAGCTCATTCCTCCATGGAGGAAGCAGTGACTTATCGTAGCAGGACACCATGGCTGAATAGGGATGAAAGACATGAAGGTCTGGGAAATGAGGAACACTGGGAATGAAGATGAGACAGCAGACTGATGCTGTTTGATGAGTATTCACTGTGATCTCACCATGGACTGCTAGCGGGGGCAGTGGCTGAGAGATCTCTCTTGTTGGCTGCCATTAGAAGCCTTCAGGCTGGAGCCCTGTGCTGACAGAGGTTTTTCTGCCATGGGCACAGTCGTACCTTAAGCCCAACTGTTCCTTCCTCCTCTGTGTTGATGATGCCTGTCCCTTGAGTGCATTCGTCCTCTGTGACCTCGTCAGAGAATATTATTATTATTATTATTATACATAAACTTTATTGAATTTGCCCTGTAACAAAATGGAATGGAGTACTGCACGGCTCTAAGCAAGGCTATGACTTTATGATGAGTTGCCTGCATTATAAGACCCGGTTACACTCGCGACTATCCCTGATGCTGCCTCAAAAAGATTAGTAGATTAGTAATCTTGTCAGACACAGCCATCCATCCTCTATACCGCTTATCCTATACACGGTCAGGGGGGAGCCTGGAGCCTATCCCAAGGGACTCGGGGCACAAGGTGAGGGATACTCTGGATGGGGTGCCAACCTGTCGCAGGGCACAATTGCGCACACACTCACCCATTCACACACTATGAGCAATTTGGAAATGCCAATCAGCCTACAGCGCATGCCTTTGGACTGGGGGAGGAAACCCCCGGAGAACATGCAAGCGACGCACACACAGGGCAGAGGCGAGATTTGAACCCCCAACCCTGTAGGTGCGAGGAAACAGTGCTAAACACTAAGCCACTGTGCCCCCCCCAGACACAACCCATGAGGCTAATACATGTACCTACAGTAAGCTGTAGCTCAAGATATGATCATTGTGGGATTCATATGCAGTTATGCATTTCTAAAGCCAACAATTGACATACAGCCAGCTAGTTTAAATTTAAACAGTGCTACCAAAACCTCATACTGGCAACTACCATGTGTACATTTACTCCTCTGACGATTAGCTGTCTTGACTTTACTACTTTAATTAACAACTAATACCTTATTTTCATGAAATGAAGCCAGCTGAAAAAATGAATCACAGCTCTTGATGTTACAACATTATTGCTAAACCTACCGTTTTTAACATGAGTCAAACATTAGCATGTTAGTCATTACCTCCTGATCGGAAGGGCTGATGCTGAGCAGAAAGGTTTGTTCTGACACAAAGACACATTTCCAGATTCAGCCATATGGCAGATGTTCACAGGACAGCAAGATACAGAAGACAGCCTGCTGGATTCTACTCCCAATTCATTGCCAGAGTGATTCCTTCAAAGGCATACTGTTTCACTGGAGACAAAACGTTCTTTACAGATATCAAAATCCACTCCCTTGTGCAGCCTTTTAGTGAAAGCATTTTCTGTGACATGACCCTAATAGAGGAAAGAATGGGAAGTTGTTGTCAAGGTGCACATATACACACAAAACCCCACGCCCCCTTCCCTAAACACCCAGAAAACAGCAACCAGATGTGTTAAGGAAGCTAAACCGCTGTACAGAGGGAAAACACAATGATTTCTATTTTGGCCAAAGCTGGCTGAAAATCTACACCATGTCCTGAATTATATTGTAACATAAGTATTTGAGTTCAAACTTGCTCCATTTTGGACAATATATGGAGGAACATTCTACCTACATCGCATTTGGCTGAACCCTTAAAAACTTTGGTGCAGTGTTTCCCAGTTTCAGTGTTTCCAAAGTTTGCAAAGTTAGGGATAGATCAGTATTTATGTAGAGAAAGTTCTCTCTATTGAGTCAGCTTATGCAGGCCAATGTTCTTGGTGGCCCATTCAGGTTATTAAAAGCTCTTAACGCATGGTTTTTCCTTCTGGAGCATCAGTGAGCGTTTGAACCTTCTGTAATAGTTGCATACGAGTCCCTCAGTTGTCCTCAGTGTGAAAAGATGGATCTCAAAATCATACAGTCATTGTCAGAAAGGGTTCAAATACACAAAAATGCTGGAAAATCAAAGAATTTGTGGGACCTGAAGGATTTTTCTGGAGAACAGCAGGCAGTTTAACTGTTCAGGACAAACGAGGGACTCATGAGCAACTATCACTAAACAAAAAAAACACAGCTGTGGATCCTTCAGGTAACAGCACAGTATTAAGAATCAAGTGGATGTAAACTTTTGAACGGGGTCATTTTTATAAATTCAACTATTATTTTCTCTTGTGGACTATATGTAAATATATTTTATGTGAAATATCTTATTCAGGTCAGCACTAAATAAACAATAACATGCATTTTGTATGATCGCTCTTATTTTGGTAAAATAATTAACATTTTGCAGATTCTGAAAGGGGGATGTAAACTTTTGACCTCAACTGTAGTTCATGCATTTGGGATTTCTCAAGTGTAGCGGTGACTGAGATGGAGTTTCCATAGACCACTGTCTTTAAAGACAAGACACTGTCTTTTCTTTTCTTTTTGCTGTCAACAGCAGTAGGATGTAACAAGGATTTAACAAAAAGAATAATACGGTGGTATACCTACAAATGATCTCATTAGTTATAGTAATCCTATTATGTTAACCAGATGACGTAATTTGTCTTGATTTAACAATATGGCTTCTACCCTCATTCTTCAGCAGCTTATTAAAAACCAATTGAACCAGATGTACAGTGGCAGAAAGCATTGAGCTGGGGTGGCAGGGGTGAAAAAAGCTGTATCTACTGTTGAAAGCGGCATCACGTGACTGCGCAGGCAATAGAAAAATACAACAGAAAAATACTTATTTTTTATATTGTATATTTGGATTAGTCAGATTAATAAAATAATGCCAATTGTTTGGTTAATTTGATGTGCTTGCCTGTAAAGGAGCAAGCACTCATCTGCTACAGTTACACCTGCACAGTTACACTGTGGACTTTACAGGAATGGTTCAATCAATCAATCAATCAATCAATAAATAAGTAAGTAAGTAAGTAAGTTATATAATATCATATTTATATATTTAATGTTGCCCTCAAATGTCATTACATAGTATTTAGTGTATTTACAAAGACCAAAACATGAATTTCAGGAGGACATATTATGATTACATCAAACCGTCAGACAGTGGTGCTGAACCTAATACGAGCCGTCTTGCTCAACTCTGAACATGACCCTTAGTGTGGTTTGCCATCATCAGGCAGAAATGTAACAATTCTTTAGTCACCTTTTGACTTCTTGTATTATCTGTCTAATAACAGAGCTCATCATTCTCCTTTCTTTGCCTCATATCGTTTTTTTAAATTCATGCAACGTGGCTTTTACTCATCCATTCCATAATATAATATGAAAAGATTGGAAAAATAGGACGTGGGATGGTGACTGAGAATGGAATGATGTGAAGAAAGAAGAAAACAAGGAGCAAGAACAAATATAGAGAATAGATTTTCCTGAGAGTTGGACAAGCTGGGCGAAATGGTGCTTGGGAAAGTCTTATTTTGGCAGTACTGCATTCCTGTTGGCCTTTTAAGGAGATGGATGGATGAGGATCAGACAGCTGGGAAATGGTCTCTTGTTAGAAAATAAAAAAAAAAGTCTTCCAACACAGTGACACATCATCAATTTAAGCAACTCTGACTGCTGTTTGTCTGTGAGAATTTCTTAAAATGTGTACAGTATCATCAAGGGAACCAGGCTACTGCCTGCCCTTTACTTCTGCCATGATTTATTGATCAGAAACTGAGGAACTCTATGCCATAAAATGTAGTATATGAAATGCAGTAGGGGAAACCTGGGTTAGTGGTTTGGTGTGTGTGTGTGTGTGTGTGTGTGTGTCAGAGTGTGCAGCCCTCATCCTGGCCTCACAGTGACTTCCACAACAACATTTATCTCAATCTCTAACAATATAATAATGTATTCTTCATGATATGCTGCTTGAGAGGCTTTGCTCCCTTGTACCTTTTTCAAAATACTATTTGATATGCTTTCTTTCTTTCAGCCTGTTTTCCCTTTCCTCATGTGTGTGGCCCTTCCATACACTGAAAAAAAAGCTCACTGAATTTACTTAATTCAAATGCATCCATTGGTTCCAAGTGATTGAACTGAGGTACATTAACACAGTTTGTTTTCATACATCCAACATGATTTGATCATGCATTTTCAAAATGCTGAATAAAACCAAACTCTGCACTCTCACCTGTGCTGAGGCTCAAACCTGGGTCACTGACAGCTTTGCACAGCCACATTACCACTGCATTACTCTACTGCACATGTTTTAATCACGTTGATCTAATTTAATGCTATTGTTATAGATGGTATAAACTGGTCTTCAGTCTGGTATAAACTTTGAATTAAGTTGAGTATAAGCAATGAAAGCATCTTTTGATGAGAACCCTAATATTTTTATCTAAACTATATGTACTATGCTCTCTTAAATCTAACTGACCATTTTTTCAGTGTAGGCATGCTGACCTAGAGCTGATTGGAGCTCCTTCTCATCAGTAGCTGATTTCAGTTATATGGCATTGAGACCTTCCCAGTCTCAGGCATGGCTCATGGTAATTAGTCTGACAGCCCTTTTCAGATTTTTTATCTGCACGTAGCATAGCAAATACCATGATGTGATCCACTTAGAAGATCAGGTCTGCATTAAATATGAGATCGGGGCTGCCATTTTGGCCCTTAGAAAGCTGATTGCCTCCTTGGAGGGTTCTAGTCCTGATGTTTTCAAGATTGTGGAGTGTTGTGGAATGAGAAGGTGCTCTGGGAAAGACTCTCTGTGTACATGGTTAGTGTGTTCACAAGTGGATTTGTGAACGTATTCATGTTTAACCATGCTCAGTCATACAAGGGTAAGTGTATCATTGTGACTATATTTTGTGATTGCTTGTTAGTTCTGATTATCTCAGTGGCCTTCCTGCTGTGTTGTTATGACAAGACTTGTGTTTTCAGGTCATACACACTGATAGCCAAATTATTAGTGGCCTGTTTTGGTGGTCATGCTTCCTCCTATTTCAAACAACCAAAGAAACATGCTAAAGTCATGCTAGAGTCATGCTAATGAAAATGACAGATGCCCTTTGCCCTGGACGAAGCATAAATTTATTAGCTTGCCTACGGGCCAAGTGAAAACTGCATAGTTGTGTTTTTTCTATTTGCTTTGTGCATAAAAGATGATATTTGGATATGGCTATTAGCAGGTTTGCATGACTGTGTTGTGCTGCACAGTTCTGTATTTTTCCTTGTTTTGTGAATTTTCCCACATTGCTATTCATCTGGCATGTCTACATATATATATATATATATGGTGGTAATTGCTATGTCAGCAGCCTAACAAACTTATTTGTCCACTGGCCATCTACAAATAAAAACTAATAGTGCAGATAAGCAATGTGGTCCACCCCGTGTAAGAACATTTGTTTTGCTATTTTGAGCAATATTGAAAATCACAATTACTTAGCCAGTTCAGGACCAATATTGTATAACAGCATAATTTATTATTTTATTTTATAATTTCAAATGTAGAAAACTGTCACATTTTATCTCAAAACTGAAATAATAATTTATTTATTCATTCAGTAACCACTTTTTCCTGGTCAGGGTCATGGTGGATCTGGAGTCTATCCCAGAAACACTGGGAATGAGGTGGATATACACTGTGGATGGGACACCAGTTCACTGCAGCGCCAAAATAAATATGCCAGTCCAAACCAATATCTAACAACACTTCAGCTCATCTCACCAATATCATCATCAGTTATGTTTAATTAATCGAGGAAGCCAACATTTTTAATCGGGATTAAAATATAAATTGCGCAGCTCTTCAGG